AGTACATAATTGTTCACGTACCTAGCCAGCCATATAAAATTATTAACTTTTAACATTGTGAATGAGATAACGTATAGATACTGATCCCTAACCGATATACAGGGCCGAATTGCTCACACGATTGCCTACGATCCCTCAAGTAGAGAAATAACTGAAAAGAGCTTTGTCAGTATAAAAAGCTTAGGCGCAATTTATCCAAGTGGTCGTTGTATTAGAATTAGATTGATTTCCTTAAGATGAAACTTTCTCCACAACGAGCTGATTCTATTTTCAGAATTCTAGCTTTCAATTTTCTAAAGTGATTGGATGTACGTCTTTTTGTCCTGTGTTCACCCCCAATCTCGTGGAGAGGGGGCCTTGTTAGGGCCAGTGTTTTTAACACTGCCGTGTAATTAACGACATGTCTGAGTGACGGGAAGATGTAACTCAAGTTGTTCTCCGGAATTATCAATTGCACATTGACCCACTTACACCATTGTGATCATTTAATGTTCTTACCATGCAAATGGGTTATAGTCGCCTCTGTCTGTTCATGGTGGTGTTCTTGCATTAACTTGCTGCTAGAATCCTGAGGGTCTGGAAGTAGCATTCAGTGTGTATGCCACTACAACCAGCCAGGTTGGATACAGGGCCTTCATGAGGCCTCCCATGTGCAGCAAATCGTGGTGAATCAGCACATTCCCGGGAAGTCAGTTTAGAAAATTAGTAAGTAAGAATTGCAGGTAAGTTAGAACATTTGGAACCGTCGCGAGAGGTTTCGTATATTTTATACCCCTAAGTGCCAAAACTGAGAATAAGCTATTCTTTTGGGTATTTTCATTGGAGTTTGAACCTTCATAGAGTGGTGCGCAGCTGTTTGAACGGCGGAGCTCGTAAAAACCAAACTGTATGTGAGAACCAAACTGTATGAACGGGTGACATTGTGAGAACCAAACTATATGAGTGAGTGAGTGAGTTTGGTTTTACGCCGCTTTTAGCAATATTCCAGCAATATCACGGCAGGGGACACCAGAAACGGGCTGCACACATTGTGTTCATGTGGGGAATCGAACCCGGGTCTTCGGTGTGACGAGCGAACGCTTCAACCACAAGGCTACCCCCTGCCCCAAACTGCATGAACGGTTGACATTGTGAGAACCAAACCGTGTGAATGTTTGACATAGTGAGAATGAAACCGAATGAACATTGGAGATTGTGAGAACCAAAATTAACTGTATGAACGTCGGCGATTGTGAGAACCAAACGGTATGAACGTCGGAAATTATGAGAACCAAACGGTATTAACGTCGGAGATTATGACAACCAAACTGCATGAACGTCGGCGATTGTGAGAACCAAAACATTTCACCTCGAGCGTGTGAGAAACGCCTATACGAACGACGGAGCTTGTATTTCCCAAGCCGTATTGTTAAAACGCGAGTGTTGGGGAATTAGCCCGCTTGGCAAGAGGTCTGACTATACCAACCCACACACAACGCAACACCTGAGTAAAATAAACAAGGAATTTATTACACAGCAGTCACAGGATCATTTTCATAATCAGTCAACAATAGAATGGTTTACAATTAATTATTAGAACATGTTCACAATGCAATCAGATATCAAAGTACATGTAGATTCGTTACACACGACACATACTACATTCATCACGATACATATTTCAATGTACACAACAATAGTTCAATATTCTACACATCACCCCAGTGGGCGTTCATACAATCTACATTATGTGGCAGTCACAAGACAGCATAGTACTCACAACGTAATGCAACAGTTAAAATATCCGACACACTCTATAAATTCTATAATAGTCACATAACAGTGTAGTGTCAAAGATCAGTATGAAATACACAATCCTAAACTGTAATACAGAAGATATGGGACATGTAATAAAGCATGTCGCGTTCCACATCAACCTGAAAAATGTGCCAAGGGTAACAAGTAGTAAAGAGATATCCAGTAAGATTAAAGTTAACACACAATAGAAATGGTAAAGACTTCTCGAACTTGAAGAAAGTAAAGTTACACACCTGAGTGAATTTACTAGACAGCCACCCCCTGATTTGTAACTGTCATCCGTATTATATACCTATTCTAGCTATCGCAGATAATCGCGTTTACAGATAAAACTTACGATAACGTTGTTATTGTGAACGTGAGATTATGTCATTTAGTTGGACCGAAGCATCGATGGCCAGTCGCGAGTATGCCACGAAGGTATATGTGGCACGCACGTGATTTGACCAACGTGGAATACAAACACCCGTAAAGACAGATAAACGTAATGCACCTTGGTTCTGTTAGCTTTAGAGATACTGGTCCCGGATTATGTCCGATGCTCGTTATCAATGTGACATTGAGGAAGGTAGTCGGTTAGTCTGTAATATTTCCAGTTTTCAATAACGCATATCGTTATAAAATATTGGTAAAACTTTGTCTAGTTTTTCCGTGTTAATAGTATCCCCTGTTCTTTTAAAATTTCGTCCCGAAATATCAATAAACAAAAATGACATCATACAGTACATTACGAGTGATGAGTAAATTGCGGTACGGAAACAACTGGTACCGCGGATCCATGATGACTGACGAGAACATGTGTACAGGCATTGATAAATAGTCAATCGTAATGGTTTTAGATAAGATATACAGGAACGTACAAGTAAACACATAAGTCGAATTGCCAACATCGGCGTAACAAAATATAACAATAACAAGTTCAACGGAATTTCTGACGTGTACACACAAAACACAGGTGAGCGGCTTTCCAGCTCGTACAAACAAAACACTGGACGTTTCCACCGAGCGGCAAAATCCTGCTCGCGGTTGACCATATAGTCGGAATACCTGACTGATAAGTACATATATGACATATAAAAACAAAAACATAATGTGCGCAATGCGTCGCCGTTTGCATATGAATGTAATATTTTCATGATAGCAGTAAGATCCTTGAAGTTGGGAGTCTTATATTGTGAGCCTAGACTCGGCAAGGCTAGCAGAAGTTGTGATCTGCTCTAAACAAAGTAAGGACATGAAGAGAAGGGAACCTAACCAACTTCAAAAGCCTAAACTGACATATAATGAAAAATTCATTCAAGTGAATTTGGCTCGACGATATTTCTACGAATCGTTTATGTGAGCCAGGGACCCGAAGTTACTTACTTCCGCCGGTATCATAGTTAAGAGTAAGCTCACAGAGGCGAAACGAAGTACATGTAGAACGATACAGACTGGGTATACAGTCTCCACTAAATAGCTCGGTGAATATGCCTAGCAATTGGTCTCTATAACATGGGTATTCTTGTACAGAAGCTGTTACGACAGGCAACGATATGTCATATCTTTCATAATGAGTACTTATAAATTTGATGCTCACATGTTCAAAATGGATGACATGAAAATGTAAGCAGGAAATCATATTGTATTGAATAGCTTATGGAAAGCTATTATCTATAGTGACGGTTATAGACCTACAAAGTATGAGAAAAATCCTTGAAACCGGGAGTCTGGTTTGTATGGGAAGACTCGGATCCCGCAGATAACGCTGATCTGCACTAAATGCGTACATGTGTAGGGCGTAGGCTGTGACCAGATCGTACCGTAGAGTAAGAACCTAGCCGATTTCAACAACTTAATCTGATAAAGATGTATGTCTGATAACATCACAAAGATTACAATACATACTCAATATATGAAAACATGACAAATGTGAACACAACGAAACAATGACCGGAGAACATACAACATACCTCACATAAACAAGAACGTCCTTGACAAGTTCACGTACACAGTTCACGGTGAGAGTCAGAACCAAAGTTCACAGATATTGTCACACACATCGGAAGAAACTTGCAGATGATTCGTGATGTATGCCTAGGTTGACTTGAACTTGAAAGTTGGTTCACTCACATGAATGTTGGGTTACCGATGATGTCCTGATTATCGGCTGACATCTTGATGATGACCGGGTTGTCTGGGCTTCTGCCTCTGGTCATCTTCTTCTGTGATCCATGATGACGACCGCCATGACGCTGCCTTTGTCGTCCATCATGTCAACTACCGGTGCTTTACTGCGATATGGACCGTGTAGGAAGTGGGACCCCATATATAGTGACTGGAGGAGTACCTGTAGTGTTGGTACCTGGGGCATTGGTTTGCGGGATCCTCCAGTTGCTCGTCTGTTCCGCCCGGTTCTGTGGTGGAGTCTTGGGTTGTCTGTGGATGGGTCGTCTCGGTCCTGCGTCAGGTGTTGCCATGTTTGTGGGTTGGTGTGTCGCCGTTGCCACTTTCGGTCCCCCCGCCACTTATTAAGAGCGAGCTGAAGTTTCAACTCGCTCAGCAGAGGTACCAGTGGCACAACCAACCAACACAACACCCGAGACCCGAGTGAATTTACCAGACAGCCACCCCCTGATTTGTAACTGTCATCAGTATTACATACCTATTCTAGCTATCGCAGATAATCGCGTTTACAGATATAACATACGATAACGTTGTTATTGAGAACGTGAGATTATGTCATTTAGTTGGACCGAAGCATCGATGGCCAGTCGCGAGTATGCCACGAAGGTATATGTGGCACGCACGTGATTTGACCAACGTGGAATACAAACACCCGTAAAGACAGATAAACGTAATGCACCTTGGTTCTGTTAGCTTTAGAGATACTGGTCCCGGATTACGTCCGATGCTCGTTATCAATGTGACATTGAGGAAGGTAGTCGGTTAGTCTGTAATATTTCCAGTTTTCAATAACGCATATCGTTATAAAATATTGGTCTAGCTTTGTCTAGTTTTTCCGTGTTAATAGTATGAACGGCGGAGAGTGTGAGGTACACACTATCATGAAACGTGGATTGTGAGGAACAAACAAAAAGGAAATCGCGGACTGTGAGGACAAAACAGTATGAAGGACTTATCATATGGATCAAAATGAATAGACGATGGTGACTGTAAGGACCAAAATGTATGGACGACGGTGATTGTAAGAAACCAGATATATGGACGACGGTGATTGTAAGGACCCAGATATATGGACGACGGTGAGATATATGGACGACGGTGACTGTAAGGACCCAGATATATGGACGACGGTGATTGTGAGGATCAAACTGGATGAAATAGTTCCCGAAAAGGAGAGGAATGAAGATTGTATGTGTCCGCTAACTGTTTCACAAGCTTTTATAAGTGGCATTCTCAGAAGTTGGAGAGCCGGATGAGGACCAACTTTATGAATAAACAACTTCTTTATTCAGGTAATGCCACGTTTCGATACATATCCTTGTGTCACTGATAATTGTTTTCAACGATGCAAGAATCTGTATCGAAACGTCGCATCACCTGAATACAGAAGTTGCTCATCCATAACGTTTGTCCTCATCTATTAATTTTCTGTAAGACGTCTGTTGACGTTCCGTTAAAACAAATGTTCACTGGAATACTGTCATTAGATGATAGGTCATGTCAATAACCTAACTACCTTGGCCACAACGACATAATTATACATCCGGTACAAGACGTCACGAGGAACATATCGGGGGAGACAACGATATCCGACGACTATCTAGAGATGAAGACTAGCAGTTACACGAATTAGTCCTTAAACATCATTTGTTCGGTCATTTACAGGTGGTTGAAAGATCCCAAACTTTGTGTAGGTATTGCCAAAACACTCCAAAGATCGTGTCTAGAAGTTAGGTCCGCGTTGACAGGGTAATGTCATGCCCCGAGATGGTCCACAGGCCCTGATTCCGACAACAGGCAGTCGTCTCATCCCTGTGTTCCTCCTGAGCCAACGCTGTTGATACTGACGTCACTGTGTGGATCCGCAGGTGTGGTCATCTTGGGTGGTCACTCTCGGTCTTCCTGGTCTGGGACGGTCAGATGTCTAACCAGTGTAGCTGACACGTTTCATTAGGCTGAGCATGGCCTGCTTTGTACAGCTGAACGTGCTGCCAATATGACTGTTCTAAACCCTCATCTTCGACATTCCATGACTCGTTCTCGCTCCGGTGCTGATAGTCATGGCATTTTGATGTATGCCTTCAACGGGTATACCTCTAACCGTAGGAGTATATCATGTACGTGCGATTCAACAAAATCACCATTGTCAAGATATCGCAAGCACAACACCGTAATTGATATCAGTGATATAACGTTTGTGTCGTGTAAGTGACAACAAAATCATTTCGAAAATATTTACTTTGCTGTTCATTGAACAGCATGTAGAAGTGATACAGATAAAGAAGAGAGTTTGTATTTCACCTGATGGATGATTAAGGATATTCTCCGAAACGTTGTGTTCCTCACAATAAAGAAGTTGAGATCCATAAAACTCTTTTCCTTATTTACTTTGCTCTGTGTAAAATAACCCACCCACCCCCTAAACAGCTATGTTTGCATTGTATTTTGTACAATATTCATACAAAGGGCACACCTGCAAGTTATGCATGCAGTTTACATTCAATAGATTAACATTTAGAACTACATGTATTTTGCAACATCAAACATTTAAACAAGTCACGTTATACATTGTATGTTCCTGGAAGATAACACAAGTGCTGATTGAATATCACTACAAAGTAATTCTATTATTTAAACCGGTTCATGCATTTTATATCAGTTTGCGAATATTGCCTATAAAAATGAGATACAATCGAACATGCCCTTTCTGCCAACATTAAACAGATCGCAACTCGACACTTACTCAGCGGAGCTACTGCTGTCAGGGCCTTTGTACAGATTTCAAAACGTTGTAATGGTAGACGTGGGGAGGACATTTCCCAACTTGATACGTCAAGGGCGAAAATGATACCGCCTGATATCATTTATGGTTTACTTGTACTTGTGTGTTGACGGGGACCAATTGACTTGCCTTTGCACGTGTCTGTGTCGGCTGCGACAGGTCGGGTAGATTATGCTTAATCTTCGCTAACACCAGTAACTGACCTGGATTAATTAATATACACGACATTGTGAGTAACGTACAACAAAGTATTTTGTGGATTATGGAAATGGTTCAGATGTGTGGTGGTTGATATACTGAACACCTGCATTGTGTGGTGGTTAGTATACTGGACACCTGCATTATTCTTACTCTGATGTGTTGGGGTTAATATACTGGACACCTGCATTATTCTTACTCTGATGTGTGGTGGGTAATATTCTGGACACCTGTATTATTCTTACTCTGATGTGTGGTGGTTAATATACTGGACACCTGCATTACTCTTACTCCGATGTTTGGTGGTTAATATACTGGACACCTGCATTATTCTTACTCTGATGTGTGGTGGTTAATATACTGGACACCTGCATTATTCTTACTCTGATGTGTGGTGGTTAATATACTGGACACCTGCATTATTCGTATCTCTGGACACCTGCATTATTCTTACTCCGATGTGTGGTGGTTAATATACTGGACACCTGCATTATTCTTACTCTGATGTGTGGTGGTTAATATACTGGACACCTGCATTATTCTTACTCCGATGTGTTGGTGGTTAATATACTGGACACCTGCATTATTCGTAATCTAATGTGTGGTGGGTAATATACTGGACACCTGTATTATTCTTACTCTGATGTGTGGTGGTGGTAATATACTGGACACCTGCATTATTCTTACTCTGATGTGTGGTGGTTAATATACTGGACACCTGCATTATTCTTACTCTGATGTGTGGTGGTTAATATACTGGACACCTGCATTATTCTTACTCCGATGTGTGGTGGTTAATATACTGGACACCTGCATTATTCTTACTCCGATGTGTTGTGGTTAATATACTGGACACCTGCATTATTCTTACTCCGATGTGTTGTGGTTAATATACTGGACACCTGCATTATTCTTACTCCGATGTGTTGTGGTTAATATACTGGACACCTGCATTATTCTTACTCCGATGTGTGGTGGTTAATATACTGGACACCTGCATTATTCTTACTCTGATGTGTGGTGGTTAATATTTATGTTTAGTGGTCTGCTGCATGCAGGTTTTTCCATATTCCGTGGCACGTTGCACTGGTGTGATTGCTAATGCGTTAGAATCTCAATTTCCTTAGTGATTTCAATATCAGATTGAAGAAACAATAATTTATTCATGAAGTGATAGGTTGATATGTACATATGCTTTGATGAGGTTTTCGTGCAGTTGGTTGGTACAGTTGGTTGGTTATAATGGAAAGGGTTTTGTCACCTTTGATTAATGGTTCAGTATATGGTCCTCAAAACAATTAGCAGTTTCAATTCCCATTTGATATGCGCCCTGTAATACTCTGATTCAGTTCTATATCTAGGATAGTGGCGCTGATCTCGTCACACCAACGTGCGTGGGTTAGCATCAGGAAGTATAGGTGGACCTCACTGCTGTGACCATCAGCTGGGATACACTGACCACGGAACGACTGCCACGTGTTGAGGTGTTTTCTGGTGACACCTCCAGGTGTCGTGATGAAGTCACTTGATAGCAATGGGACATAGAAGCTGCATCATCGTGTGAATTACACAAAGTGCTGCCTAACTAGCGGTTAATATTTCGTTGTAACATATTTCAACCACAAGATAATAATTTTATCTTGACCAGCAATGCGGCCTTATCAGGTGTTATCCATTAAAGAAAACCATGTTGTCTCACTATACAAATACAGACTAAATTAAGTAGTATAGAAGAAGTATAAAACTGGCAAGCACACGCATGCACGCACATGCACGCACATGCACGCCAGCACGTACACACACGCTAGCGCGTAAACACACGCCAGCACGGGCTCACCCAATGAAAGGAGCTGCCTGCGCGTCCCTATTCAAGTGCAATAATGTTTAAGGTACATTACACCTCCTCTCGCCTCACTTCACCTGACATATACATTACCATGAACGAGACATTCTGAATGCAATTATTTTAAACAAAACTATATTTATTTTTTTAATTTCTGAATCAATCAACTAAATGCACCTACATGTTCTATGTAGGATTACTGTCGGCAGTTTTATGTTTATAACGTTGACATTAAAAGCGTAAAATGCCTACAACTTAACTTTATTTCCATAGACGTTTTGGCTACTTTTGAAGAAGTATATTCATTTAAGAGCAAAGAATTCCGGCTTGTGCACGGCGGCTGATGCGTAAATTATTTTCCCATACAATTTATCAGTGAACGGGAAGCATACCATCTCACATAAACCCTCATATTTGAAGGCTTTATAATATAATAAGTTGTAGAGGAAGCGGTTTTCCACGGTGAGTGTGGGCACGAGACAGCTAGACTGGAGTACTGTTGCCCAAACCGTACACCAACAATCACATGTCCGACTCGACAACCAAGACAAAGACGTCAGTACTTCATGTTCCCCCGAGGATTACCAGTTACTCTACAACCGCTCAATCTTTGCAATAACTAGTGTTAAATCGCCACAAGCAACCCAACTACGGAAATAAATGCTCAAATCAGATGACTGGCGGGAGAATATTTCTCAAATCATTTCCATAGCGAACCTTATCTGTACAAAGAGAAATTACATAAAGTGGGTCTGAGATTTATGTGTTTTATCGAACGTTTGGATGCAGGGCTTGAATAATGACCATCTCCACACAGTGTGGCTATACCAGTGCTAACGGACTCTATTGTCGGGTACCAAACATAACCGCCATTACTGACATGTCCCGTGATGGATGCTGGCACCAACGATCTCCTTATGGATTTCCTATACCAAGTTCCTCAGCTCGACTCGTCTGAAATACGTAACGGTTGTATACATCTTAATACTCCATATAGACTGATTTGAGCTAGACTGAAAATAATTGGGTGACAATATCTACACGATAGAGAGAAACACGTTTAAAGTACGCCGTGCGATGATTTAAATTGTACCCGAGATGGACTCAACATTCTGGTAATAGCTGTACTACAACCAATCACGTCCTAAAGTGCGTTTTGTGAGGAGACGTTTTAAATCAAGGATTGCCTGACAATACGTGGGTGATACCATCTAGACTTTAAACACAACAAATACTGCACTGTGTGACCCTCAGGAGCTTCCTGCTTATGGGCATGGTGTGTGTCCTGGCATCTTCCGATACAGACAGGCTGACTATTTTATCGAACACCTGGTGTCGTTTTCATGTAATCCATTCATTTTAATTTTCAACACTGTTTTGCCTTTACCCTACAGAATCGGACAGAATTATTTATACTACAGACTCTTCAGGGCCGGATACAGCTTTTTGAGAGAGGGTGTGTGCACAGTTCAGAAAGGAGAGGTGCACAGTTCATTTTCACCCGTTTTCATGAGAGTTTCAATGGTCATTTAATTAACTTTCAGAACAAAATGGGGTAGGGGTGGGTTGGCGCACCCCTGCACCACCCCTCTGGATCCGCCTATGCTCTTGGAACAATGTGTCACTCAGACAGGACATATGAAACATGTAGTGATCCCGTGCCTAGCCTGATCTAAACTTATTATAACTATCTGTTTACATATCCTTGGAAAAGTCCATATCAGTTATGTACAAGTCATATATCCAGGTGGTCCCTGTATCAACACTTCCTGTAAGGATACACCCCGTGAAATCTATGAACGGCGCGACTTACAGCGCTTGTCAGTATGTGTGAAAGCTGCATACGGTTCTGAAAGGACATCTTGAGATATTTTTGAAAGTATACCACTTAAGGCTTGTGATCACCACAAATAATGTGTATGATCTGAAATAGCCAATAACTATGCTGTGTGTAAACGTGGCATGTGACACACATGCTGGAAGATGATAATAAATAAATACTTACACTACAAGTAGACATTACTGAATGTAAGTTCTGGTCCATAAATGCATTATGGCCCAATAATTTCCGGAATGTAATTTAGTGAGTACTAATTTATTAGCTACGATATATATATTGACAGCAGCGTGTGATCTCCCCTAGATGAACGCTATCTAGCCAGCTGTCGTTCTTTTCCCTGATCAACATCAGTATGTAGCGTGATTACATATCATGAGATACTACTTTGTCAATCGAGCGGAGAGTTACAGAAATACACTCGAGGAATTCCGAAATGTCTCATAATAACGTCCCATCGGGACGGTATCATCCAACCACATTTAGACCGATCGTGTATGAATCACCAAACTGTTAAGCGTGTATTTATGGTTACACAGTTTACTCTTTTCACCAAACCTAATCACACATCTACACACTGTCGTGGGGCATCGGGATATGCACCCGCACCGCCTCAAGTAGAACCTCCGTCCTCGCCAGCTCATCTCGACCCCCGTCCTCACCAGCTAATCTAGACAAACGTCCTCACCAGCCCATCTCGACCCACGTCCTCACCAGCTCATCTCCCGTTCTCACCAGCTCATCTCGACCCCCGTCCTCACCAGCTCATCTCGACCCCCGTCCTCACCAGCCCATCTCGACCCCCGTCCTCCTCATCAGATCATCTCGACCCCCGTCCTCATCAGATCATATCGACCCCCGTTCTCACCAGATCATCTATACCCCCGTCCTCACCAGCTCATCTAGACCCCGTCCTCACCAGCTCATCTCGAGCCCCGTCCTCACCAGATCATCTAGATCCCCGTCCTCACCAGCTCATCTCTACACCCCCGTCCTCACCACATCATCTCCCCCCGTCCTCATCAGATCATCTCGACCCCCGTCCTCGACCATCTCGAGCCCCGTCCTCACCAGCTCATCTCGAGCCCCGTCCTCACCAGATCATCTCGACCCCCGTCCTCATCAGATCATCTCGACCCCCGTCCTCACCAGCTCATCTCGAGCCCCGTCCTCACCAGCTCATCTCGACCCCCGTCCTCACCAGATCATCTCGACCCCCGTCCTCACCAGCTCATCTCTCGAGCCCCGTCCTCACCAGCTCATCTCGACCCCCCTCACCAGCTCACCTCACCAGCTCATCTCGACCCCTGTCCTCACCAGATCTCGACCCCCGTCCTCACCAGATCAGATCATCTCTGACCCACGTCCTCACCATCTCATCTCGACCCCCGTCCTCACCAGATCATCTCGACCCCCGTCCTCATCAGATCATATCGACCCCCGTCCTCACCAGATCATCTATACCCCCGTCCTCACCAGCTCATCTAGACCCCGTCCTCACCAGCTCATCTAGACCCCCGTCCTCACCAGCTCATCTCGAGCCCCGTCCTCACCAGCTCATCTCGACCCCCGTCCTCACCAGCTCATCTCGACTCCGTCCTCACCAGTCCTCACCAGCTCATCTCGAGCCCCGTCCTCACCAGCTCATCTCGAGGACCCCGTCCTCACCAGCTCATCCTCACCAGCTCATCCTAGACCCTGTCCTCACCAGCTCATCTCGACCCCCGTCCTCACCAGTCTCGACCCCCGTCCTCACCATCATCTCTCGACCCCCCCCAGTCCTCACCAGATCATCTCGACCCCCGTCCTCACCAGATCATCTATACCCCTGTCCTCACCAGCTCATCTCAGACCCCGTCCTCACCCCTCATCTAGACCCTCACCAGCTCATCTCGACCCCGTCCTCACCAGCTCATCTCGACCCCCGTCCTCACCAGCTCATCTCCTCAGACCCCCGTCCTCACCAGCTCATCTCGACCCCCAGCTCCTCACCAGCTCATCTCGACCCCCGTCCTCACCAGCTCATCTAGACCCCTGTCCCCCAGCATCTCATCTCGATCCCCGTCCTCACCAGCTCATCTATCCTCACCCCTCACCAGTCCTCACCAGCTCACCCCGTCCTCACCAGCTCATCTCTACCCCCGTCCTCACCAGCTCATCTCGACCCCCGTCCTCACCAGATCCCTCGTCCTCCTCCCAGCTCATCTCGACCCCCGTCCTCACCAGCTCATCTATCCCCGTCCTCACCAGCTCATCTCGACCCCGTCCTCACCAGCTCATCTCGACCCCCCGTCCTCACCAGTCCTCACCAGCTCATCTCGACCCCCGTCCTCATCTCAGCTCCTCACCATCATCTACCCCCGTCCTCACCAGCTCATCTCGACCCCCGTCCTCACCAGCTCATCTCGATCCCCCGTCCTCACCAGCTCATCTCGACCCCGTCCTCACCAGCATCTCGATCCCCGTCCTCACCAGATCATCTCGACCCCGTCCTCAGATCCCTGTCCTCACCTCAGCTCATCTCGACCCCCGTCCTCACCAGCTCATCTCGACCCCCGTCCTCACCAGCTCATCTAGACCCCCGTCCTCACCAGATCATCTCGACCCCCGTCCTCACCAGATCATCATCTCAGATCATCTCGACCTAGACCCCCGTCCTCACCAGCTCATCTCGACCCCCGTCCTCATCCAGATCATCTCGACCACCGTCCTCACCAGATCATCTCGAGCCCCGTCCTCACCAGCTCATCTAGACTCCCCGTCATCACCAGCTCATCCTGACCCCCGTCCTCACCAGATCATCTCGACCCCCGTCCTCACCAGCTCATCTAGATTCCCGTCCTCACCAGCTCATCTCAAGCCCCGTCCTCACCAGATCATCTCGACCCCCGTCCTCACCAGCTCATCTCTCATCTCGACCCCCGTCCTCACCAGATCATCTCGACCACCGTCCTCACCAGATCATCTCGAGCCCCGTCCTCACCAGCTCATCTAGACCCCGTCCTCACCAGCTCATCTCGACCCCCGTCCTCACCAGATCATCTCGACCCCCGTCCTCACCAGCTCATCTAGATTCCCGTCCTCACCAGCTCATCTCAAGCCCCGTCCTCACCAGATCATCTCGACCCCCGTCCTCACCAGCTCATTTAGACCCCCGTCCTCACCAGCTCATCTAGACCCCCGTATGACTACACCACGCACCAACGTTCACAGACCGTTTTCAGTTTCAACCGGGTCTATAATTGAACCTTTCCATTCCAGTTAAAAACTGTACTGGGTGTAATTGGAATTTCAGGAAAATGAGGTAACGTTTGTAAGACCAAGGAAGGTAACTCCGACTATTGGGGACGCCGAGATAAAAGTAACACTCCACGTTTATATAGTATATATCTATATTTACGTTTGGTGCATGAATGGAAGGATTTGTAATCATTCACGTATCAATATATGCTCAGAAGGTGTATTTATTGACGTTCACCAGCTGAAGACAACAGTGCCTCACGTGAGCAAATAATATGTTTCAATAGCTAAGAGTACATTAAATGCCGATACTTATGTTCCATTAACCTACATAGCCAACATACGTACACACTGTAGGAAGCACACATCGTGATATCGCTTGAAATATGCAAGGAACGGCGAAAAATGATAGTCATTCTTGTATAACCTTATACACGATTACACGAAACACCCCCTGCAATGTGTGCCTGGCACCCAACACAGAGGAATGCCTCTGAGAAAACAGTCAGCCGCGGCAGTATATTTCTGTCTTTACGGTTGATTTGTGGTTTACAGTTTACATAATTAGACTTCTCTGCTGGTAACGAGTTAACTGTTAGTGTAATATGCTATCAGATATTAACATGACGCATATTCCACAGCGACCGTTACTGCCAAGATTCTTCTTCCAGAATAGGAAGTTCCCCAGCCATCACTCTCTGGAGATGAGTGCGAGAGTAAGCAGGGATCCCTATCTTCACGATATACATCCGTCAGTCCGACATTTGTAATACATTCTGCATCACACGGTCAAACGTGGGCCGGGGGAATTAATCCTTGTTCGGAACTGGGCTGATTTATCAAGTTATGTTCCTCCTTCATCACGTCAAAGTTGATGTCGTTAACACACACTACGCAGCGTTGGAACAGATGGCGGAATGTCGAACAAGTCCCTGATGCTGTGTCGTCGTCGTACAAACACTGCTGCCAGTCAGGTGGGCGTGAGACAGCTCCACCCGCAATCATAATTTCCCCACCCACAAAGGTACGCGTGAACTTCATAAAGCGACGGTCGTGATGTTACTACTTTTTCATTTATCATGATTGTATCCTTGACTGAGGCGTTGCATCTGATAAAGAAGACGAGACATTATATCAAACCGGCTGTCCTATACGGTTGTATTATAATCCTCACGTGTGAACGCTTTGAGTTATGAATCAGATGTGGCAGACAGATTGTATGGACGGGTCTGTACAACAAGGGAAAAAGCAAGTGTGTTGATGTGCCTGAAACATCAATCTTTCTTCATCGTTTAAGATTTTGAATATTTTTTTTAAATGAAGAGTATCGCCATTCTGTAGAGACTAGACTGTTCCTGTCCAACTTCTTTGAGTGGCATTTAGAAGTTGGTGTGATGAACAACAAGGAGAGTTCTATGGATATGCAACTTCTTTAATATAACATGAGCGACGTTGCGGTGTAGCTTCTAACACCGTTATCAAGCAAGTGTTCCCATATAACGGTGTTAGAAGCTACACCGAAACGTCGCTCATATTAAGAAGTTGTATATCCATAGAACTCTCTTCTTTGTTGTCCCTGTCCAGTAACATGTGTGTTTCTGGAACGTCAATGTCAGCAATATCCCAGCCATATGTCGCTGGTCTGGATAAAGTCGAGTCTGGACCAGACAACCCAATGATTGACATCATGATGAGACGACGACCATCAGCCAAGTCAGCAAGTGTGTACGTGGTGTGGCAATGAGTCTAACATTTTCACCAAACTGAGGAAATCTGGAAATAATTCTAATTGTCGTATGTATTTACACATGAGGAAATCTGGAAATAATTCTAATTGTCGTATGCATTTACACATATACTGATTACCACAATGACATTTAAATAAAAAAATAGAATCATATCGAACCCGTAGATCACCCTTACCCCAAGAAAAAGCGAGCTTTACTACGTGTAGTTGTAAAATACTTCACGTCATAGTGTTCTACAATTCGCTGACCAAATAGCTTTAAAAACATCATCAGACAAAAACTCCTGTCATGTACACGTTTATTACGTACAATTCAGTATCTGCCTCCCTGTCAAGTAAACAACGACGGGCTTCAAATTTCCATCAGTTGTAAACAGATATCAACAAAGGGCTTGACTCGATGCCGCCTGCAGCAGACAAGTCAGAAGGCAGGGTTGTGTTATACTTTTGGTATAGTGCAGTCGACATTTTCCTATTTTTTAAAGTATTGATTCCTATTTATTGTTCTCGACTGAAAAATATACCATTTGAGACATACATTTTTACAATAAGATATTTCATGCTGATAACATGCTCATGACTGTGTAACTGCACAATACATACTATGTAAAGGTGAGGTGAGGTGAGGTGAGATTGGGTTTAACGTCGTGCTGGAGAATATTTCGCTCATATGACGACGTGCATGCGTGTGTATGTGTATGTGCGGCTGCTTGTACTAGCCCAGACTTAAGCTGGTTTTATAGTGCTAGCTCACTGAGATGCCATACCGCAGTGAAGCATGAATACCCCACTCAGACACAGTATACTGACTCGGAGCCGACCAGTCCTTGTTGTACCCATTAATGCCGAGCGCCAGGCAGGGACCAACAAGTACCATATTGTAACGTCCTTTGGCATGTCGCGGTCGGGGATCGAACCCGCGACCTTCCGCTCTCCGGGCGGACGCTCTAACCACTACACCACGGAGGCGGTCTACTATGTAAAGAATGTGTAGAGACGTTCTATTAGGATCAGTTAAAACGTTTACGTGTCGTATAGCTCTTTGCACAAATAACTATCAGCAATCGTACTGCAATATTATTCCCAATTCCAAACTCAAAGGATATCATTTATGTTATTCTGTATAAAGTAAATTAAATATTTCTCAAGTTGCGCTATTTCCCTGGCTACGTAAGTTGTTTAGTTGAACACAGCTGGAATTACATCGGGACAGCGATTGCACACATAGATCGACATAATCTATGTTTTTACCACACAACGGCTGCTCTCAAGCCTGAGTCATAAAACCCTGCGATATGATTTGTGAGAGTGATTTCCGATTATGTCTTAGACTCCAAATTATGACAATAGTTGGTTAAGATATAATGAGAGTTTTGAATAAACAGCCTGGTAAACTGAAGGTTTTTATTTGATCGTCGGTGATTGTGATGTCTCGCAGGTGTACTCCCCAATGCAAGTGTATTCAACAACATCAGTGGTAATCATATACAGTGGTGCAAAATGCATCTCCCGAAACAGGAACGAGCACTTAGTTCATCACACTGAAAAATCTAACGCTTTAGAAACAGCTGTTGAAACAAATCTGAACTGCTCGGTAAATGTTATTGGAAACGGGTTTTAAAATTCCACAAAAGTGTTCAACATGCCTCGGGATAATATCGGCAAAAAGTGTTGAAATCCTCTGATACCGGTCATGAGTTTGAAGCCGGAATTACCCTTGTGAAGAAATATATCACGTAAAAAGCATAAAACATGAAGGAAATGGTAGCAATTAGCAGTGATCAATATCACATTATGAAGGGAGTCAGCTGACTCAATCGACCTGCGCTACGACAGACAAAGACATGTGTCTGTTCCAATGGACAATCTTGGCCATAAAAAGAAAACTTGATTACTTTTCTCACTATGGTGTAACAAAACCCTGGAACCCCTTTGACTCCATGTCGTGGGCTAATTACAGTGGTATTGTCTGCAATCAAATAGTGTCTATCTGTTATCAGCAATAGAACGCAGACTTTAATCCCGGTCGCAGTCATACAATATACATGAGCCGACAGGGTGCAATGTGGGACGTTTTACGCCATGCTGTTTTGCAGGTGGACGAGATCCGCCGATATTGGAACACTCTCAAATTTAAAAGTGAATGTGTCGTTTTAATTAGTTTAATTTTACTTAATTTAGATGCGAGAGGTCATGTTATCTACCTTTCACTGAATGGTTCAGATAACTCCAGTATAACACAACCTATCACAGCGTTATGGAAGAATATGTTATAGGTCATGGTGATTCACTGAATTACGTTAATCGTCGCTGTTACCAGTGTTTTACCAGTATCGCGAAGTGGGGTCAATTCATCAGCAGATGGAGTGATAAAACCCGCATCACTGGGGGCTAGAAATTCACTTCAGCACATTGCTTTTTTAGAATCATGACTACAGTGTTAAAGATCACATCAGCAGATCGAATGTTAGGCAGTCACGACTAAGTTGAGACTGCCGATTAAAGCGAGTTGTACGGCGAAGTCAGCCAGTCTCATATTGTTTCACCCACTCGCCTGGTTTGTTGGATTGGCGTTGTAGGCCCACGTTTCTACAATCTTACCGCATTAATTCATATGACTTATTTAAGCAGCGTGGTGGCTGTCAGCGTCTTAACGAATATTTCGCACGATCGTTACAAATCAACACGACCTGGCTGAAAGAAGTTTAATACGGTGGGCACAGACGGGAAGAGACACGAGATCTTCTGTCAGACATTACATGTACATCCAGCCCATATTTACAACCTTTTCTTTGTAGCAGTTGATTCCACTCTCCATATGGTATCTCTTATAGATTCAGTGTGTTAAGGCTTATCTCAGCTACATATGGCGAAATCACACGCTTCTAATTGAGAGACCAACTAGATTTGAAGTTAATTATTCATCAGTTATTTAACGACAACGGTTGACGAATAAATTTATAAAGCTTAATCCATTGGGGATATTTCCAGCACGTTTTGTAATTGCA